GGTTTGGGCGCTACAGTTGATCTTCTGATGCCTGCCTATTAGCTAAACTTCAAATCTCGGAACCTTGATGCATAGGTTTTCGGGCACTTTGAATCTCGTGGCAAAATGTTTGTTTTGCTGTTCGCATTAAAGAAACTTTAAGCGACGAAGTTTCATAAAAGTCGATTTTCCAGCTCCAACCAAATTGAATCAAATTTGAAGAGTGAATATTTTATTGAGAATCGCCACCAAATACATGAGTGCATCTCGTCTCATTATACGTCTATTTAGTTAAATATCTATCTTGACGAGTATTAACATGATTACACATAGAAGCCGGTAAATGTTCAGTTAAAACTAAAGTTCGGTAACCGATTAAACTATGTAGAAATATAACGGTGTTTTGAGTGAAAGTGTATCTGAAGCAATTTGTTGAGCAGAGTGTTCTGGTCAGAATGAGCTATCTAGTGGGTTTTTACGACCTCGTCTTACAGAGTTATACTAGTTTTGCTAACGGCGCTGAAGTATAGTTAATGAAGTGATGACGTCATTGCTTAGAATGTTATTTTGGCGCAGTAAAGTTGTATTAACTTCGTCGTAAGATCTTCATTCTTTTTTTATTTTGAAGCTAAGGCATTTATCTAACGGTTGATCCGCGGCGATTTTTGTGCAGAGATAAGTGGCAAATACTCCGCCGAATTAGGGTTATTTTCAGAGGTCTGACGTGTAGAGAAGGAATGGAAGCAAAATTCAAAAATCGCCGCGGATCAAGTTTTAGATTTAGGTGTCTACTTTCATTTGAGGCCCTTGAGGCTCAAATTTCCCTTTTCCCGCTTAATGCGGACAGCAAAACAAACATTTTGCCACGAGATTCAAAGTGCCCGAAAACCTATGCATCAAGGTTCCGAGATTTGAAGTTTAGCTAATAGGCAGGCATCAGAAGATCAACTGTAGCGCCCAAACCACGACAGATGGAGACCTGGAACTTGCTTCAGATTGTAGAGCGTCATCTATTGTATATCGACATGTGTTTAGGGTAGTACCTTGCTATTTAGATTTTTGGAAGGACAGACTCGGACATTTTGTTTCGAAAGGTATACCATGATAAACCTCTTTCGAAAAGCAGGATTTTTCATAGATTGATGTCCCCGGGTGTCTACATCACGAAAGTAAAAACCACAGAGTGCTAGCTCTTTCCGTTCAAACGTTATTTAAAAAACATCGAACTGCACTATGTTTTGAAACCGATAGTAGATTGGTATAGCATGGTGAGTAAAAGTCGACGGTAAAGTTTAAGACTAAATACAGATGCTTTTTACCTCCATCTTCCACATCGTCCATTAAGCATACAACATACACTGTCATCATGTTTTGAAACACATAGTAGGTCACTGGTCAAAGTCTCACAAAACTCCCTCTATACAGCGAATCAAAACCGTCCTACTGTAAAACTGATGTTAAAAGTAGATCCTTTTTGACTAGCAGCACAAACCCTTTGTTTTTCTACCGAACAACACGGAGGAACCAAAAGCGGTTGTTGTTAAAGTCGTTCGAACTACAAAAATGTGCAATATAATTATACCTTTCCTTTTTTAATTCTGCTATCGGAACATTTGTTCTCTTTCCATGTGGCCAGTGGGTGACAAAATGAGTACCATCATCATTGTTTTTCAGATACCGAGCTATATTCTAAACGAGCACAGGAAAAGAAGTGTTAGATACTTTAATATTATTTACCGATTGCTTTTTGTAACAACAATTACAGCTCATGAAATTCTGTTTTCTTCAGAAATTTTATTATGTAATTGGATACCTCGTTATCTGTCGTCTGAATCCAAACATAATCAGTTGGTCGAAAACTAAAAAGAATCAATATTAACTTAAAAAATGTTTTTATAATAGAGCAGATCACAATGACTCACCTTATATTCCAGCGATCTGCCTTGTCCAGTAATAATTTTTTACAGTAGCCATTATACATTAGTTTTATCGTAGAGCTTTCGTCGTCAGTTAGTGTTCCGTTTAATTTTGTTTTAAAATACGCTACAACATCATTTGATTGCTCTGATTGTCTTTTGTCTTTTATAAAATCTGTAATACTACCATCTGCAAAATGAGTTTCATCGTTACGTTTTCGCTTTCTTATTAAGCACTCCACGACATGTCGTGACTCAATATGATATTGATCAGCAACACGTTCATAAACTGCACGAATTTTTTTATGCAAGTCTTCTTGTGCTACTGTTCGGAAATCGTTGGCGGTTGCTGCTGTAGTTGAATTTGTGGCTGAAGCATTGTCAGAGCTGGTTATCAGCGTATTGAGGAATTTAATTTTCGTGTATCGATAATAATTGGGAACCTCATCTTGCAATAATTCACTATTAATTTTATCCATTGCAACTGTATAAATATCACTTAAAAAATTTTCTTTACTTTTATCCATTTCAGCATTTTTGGCATTACGTGTTTGTTAAAAAAAGTTTCCGACCATTTCTTTGACAATACTTTCTTTTTCGTTGTTTTTCATTGTTGATTGACGATATAAACTAATTACCTTCCGTTCTACACCGGTAGATATTGTATTCCATAAACTATCATTGATGTATTTTTTCTCTTTTAGCATAATTTGTACTCTGACTAACGAATTTTCAATATTAACATTAATTTCTGCATCAAAAATTCTCAGTACATTAGTAATATTATCATGTAAAGCATTATATAAATAATCATTTCCAGTAGTAGACATAGTCACACAGAAGTTGTAGAAAAAATCAATGATCTAGACCACGGATTAGAAAAACAGTTCTGTATCAGTGCAATATTTTTGCGAAGTTCCGGAAAGTAGTGGCAGCAGCCACAATAGATCAAGCTGAAAATAGGAGCCGCATAAGGCTGTTAATCGGCCTAATTCATTTTTTGCCTATATTTTATGAAACACATGAAGAAGAAAAATGGGACGAGTACCACAAACTTCACAAATTGATTCTTTTTTAGCAAGAAGAAGAATTCTAGTATCTTTTCATTGATCTGGAATGATTGCATCAAAGAAAGAGAGAAAGATAGCTTAAAGATTTTTAGCGGAAGAAACCAGCAGGAAAATGGAACAGAATTAAACATAAAGTTAGGCAGACCGTGCACATCGCATGGGTTTTCCTTTTTACGAAACCTAACAACATCTATTACTTCTTCAGTTGTTACCGGCGGAATTTCCTCATCGTAATTTTTCCACTTCACTTCCGATGAATCTGTATAAGGATACGGTCTGTATATGTGTTCTGGTTCTTTAAAAGATTCTCATAATAATCCGTACTTAATTCACAAATTTTTTCCGACTCTTTAACCACATCACCATTAGAAAGAATGAAACCGTGTAAAGAAGAATTCGAAAATTTCGTAAACTTCTTCGTTCGGGACCAGAAAGAGACAGACAGATGTGAAGAAGTATTACGTGTTGCTAAACAAGAAGATAACTGAGTAGCTAGAAAGCACTTTAGTTCTTTTTTTGCCATTTTTCTTCTTATTTTTACTATATTTTTTAATTCTTTATCACCAGTTCTCTCTTGTCTAAATGACAGAGCACATGTGTATGACATATATGCTCTAAGATCTTATGGAATGGCAATACAGTATTTGTTTATTGGAAAGAGTATAGTACAGCGAGAAGTAAGAAGAGAAAGAAATGATATGTAATCATTGTAAACATCGTTTAAACTATCTAAACACCAGTTCTTCTTCCAGAAAGAGTAAACATATTCACAAAATAAAGAGAAAACTTTTCAATGAATATTTCGCGCAAACAAATTTTTTCTTTTGATTTCATCGATATAATAAGAATAGGCTTATGATCACTGGAAATCAGACCCTCATACATATGTATAGAAACAGAAAAACCACACGAGAAAGCATAGTCGATTGTACGATCTGACCTTAACGAAGTAGAAGAATCAGGAGTAAAGGATGATAGAAACTGCGGATCCTTCCACAACAACAACGCCTCCTTTCCCTCCCCTACCCCCTTTCCCTCCTCTACCTCCTTTCCCTCCTTGTACGCCTATTTCTTCATTCTTCATTTTTTGTCTTTATTTTTCTCTGTACTTGTCTTTTTTATGTTGTCCTTGTCACTTGTTTTTATATGTATTTCTTGTCCTGTCC